GGGAATTAGACAATGACCACACCTCCCGACCAAAAAAAAAAAAAAAAAAGCAATGACAAAACAATACATTTCCTTTAACTGAGAAATCAAAGAAGTCTTGTGAGAACTAGAAGGTAGGAAAACTTCAGTGAGAGAGAAAAAGGAGGCTTTCCAAAGGAGATACAGGGTTTTGAAAATCAAGTGACTCATTCTTCTTGAGCTGATTTAATTGAACTCCTCTATCAAGCTTTTCACATCCAACCACTTGTGTGATGTGGAGAAAGGTCTGCTGGAGTGTTACTACCATTCTTCTCAAGAGTCTAGCAGTCAAAACCAGAACCACCCCCTAATACTGGAGGTATTAGAAATTAGAGGCTCAGGCCCCACTCAAGGTCTTTCCATGGAGAAGCATTTGCACAAGATCCCCAGATAATTCTTATGTGCATGAACAACTGAGATGCACTATCCTAGAAGATGAGTGGAGCCTCATCTCAGGAAGTAAGCTTTCCACAGGGTCTCAGGATCTCTCACCCAAAAAGGCCTGCATTCAATGTCTGCACTGAACATATCCTAAACTTTTTGATCCCAGAATCTCTTTAAACTCTTAACAGTTTTTAAAGACAGCAAACAGATTTTGTTTATGTGGGTTATAGCTACCAATATTTACCATACTAGAAGTTAAAACTGGGAAACGTTTTATTTGACAGTCCATTCTAAAACAATAATAAATTCCTACATGTTAACATAAATAATCGTTGTTATACAAAACAACCATCTTTTCAAACAAATATTAGTGAGTAGAGTACCATGGTCTTACATATTTGCAAACATTTTTAACATCTGGCTTAACAGAAGACAGATGGAGTCTCATATCTGCTGCTGCATTATAGTGGTTGCCATAATACACATTGGGTAACCCCTGGACTCCACTGTGTCCTCAAAGAGTGAAAGTGGAAAAATTTTTATTTTAGAATTATTATGAAAATAGTTTTGACCATACAGACCACCAGACCACACTTTGAGAACAGCTAATCTATCACATTCTTAGAGCTCCCCTGTCTTCACAAAACCTTTACCTGTTGCCCCTAAGAAAATGCCGTATCTGGCACTGTGCCAACTGCAATGATTTGTCACAATTGCAAAGAAAATTCTTAACTGCATCTACTGAGACAAAGAATTGTTTCTTAATTATATAAGTTCTTTGGATGTAAAGATTCCACATCCTCCCTTCAAAGACAAGTTTAATGATCCTCACAATTGTGTATTATCTTAGCCAAGCCAGGCAAGTTTTGTTAAACCTCATTGGAGATAGCATTGGCTGTTTTCAATCTACTTTACATAGGTACATTAAAAATGAAGGGAGGCTATGCATAATAAAAAATACTGTCAATTATCAATAGTAAATAAATGTTCATTATATATTTTCCACAGCAGCTCTTGCTACACATTTAACATCTGAAATGTTGTGAGTTTTTCTTTAAATTTTCTTACTTATGAAAAACTACCTGCTGCCTTCTCTGTTTTATTCCTGCTTCCATGTTCTATCTCTGGTTTATCTTGCTACTTTTTTGCCTCATTATCTCTCATTATCTCGTGCTCCAAGAACCTTACTTGTCTAATTTATTGTCTCAGTAGCCAAGGGAAAATTGGTCCTACTTGCTCCTGAAGCAGACTAAGACAAAATTCACAGATCTAAAGGAGACCTTAATGATCATCTAGTCCAGCAATTCTCCATCTTTCATGCATAAGAGAATCACCATTGCTTGGAGAATTAAAAGGAAAAGAAAAAGAAAAAACCAGACACACACACACACACACACACACACACACACAATGCCATAGTCCCACCCCAGATTAAATAAATCCAGCTTTCTAGGGTGGACTCAGACTCTGGTCCACCAAAAGATTCTACCATGTGGCCAGAGTTGAGAAACTCTGATATAGTCCAACTCTTCCTTTTACAGATAGGAGGCCGGGACGGCCAAGACGGAAAAGATCCTTACTTAGAATCACCAGGGAAGAACTAGGATTTGAACACCACCTTCTGGGCAAACAGGACAAGACTCTTCTATTAGTTGATTTAATTCAGAGTTCTCAAAAACAAACAGTTTACTCCCCTTCCTTTGCATGGAAGTCATTTTTCAAATAACTTTATTAATGTATTTTTATACACAATAAAATAGATGCACCTATTTTAAAGTTTAACAAGTTAGATAAGTATATACACTCATGTTACTACTTCCCCAATCTTGAATAGGACATTTCCAAAACTTCCCAGGAAGTTTCCCCTTGCCTCTACCCTGTCAGCAATCTCCTTCCCAGGCCCCAGGTGACAATTACTCCAATTCCTGCCACTATAGATTAGTTTTGCCTGTTTTAGAGCCTCATACAAATAGAATTTACAGTATGCATTCTTTTATTCAGCATAATTGTTTAAAGATTCAACCATGTTGTAGCCACAGTTTGTTCCATTTTATTAGTGAGCAGTATTTCATCACATGGATATTCCATAGTTCATCCATTGGATTGTTCCCAGTTTGGGGCTATTACAAATAAAATGTATAAAATACCTTTGGGAAGGCATACATTTTTATTTACCTAGAGTAAATACACAGGAATGGAAATCCTGGGCTTAGAGTGGCCTAGGAGGCAAAATGTATAAAACAAAGTGTTCCAGGGTGGCTCAGTTGGTTAAGCAGTCCACTCTTGGTTTTGGCTCAGGCCATGATCTCACCATGCTGAGATCAAGCCCCATGTCAGGCTCTGTGCTCACAACCTGGGGCCTGCTTGGGATTCTCTCTCTCTCTCTCTCTGTCTCTGCCCCTCCTCTGTTCTCTCTCTCAGTCAGTAAATAAACCCTAAAAAAAAAAAAGTGTTGTAGCCCTGCAATCAGTCAGAGGTAGCCTAGCATACCTGCATATTAGTGGGGCTGTTTATTAACATGGAGGTCAATGTACTTTACAGGTGTGTCAAAAGGATTAGAGAGAATGTATATAGAGTAGCTGATAAAGATACCGAATAAATTATAATAAAAATAACTAGAGACAGAACTAGGCTGGACTGGAACAAGATCCCTGAATTTCTCAGTGATGTATTTTTCCACTGCTGCATACTGTTCACCTTCCCCCAACCCTCATCCAGCCAAAGGCTCTCCCTGCCCCTCTCCAACCCACACCCTCTCCTGTCTTTGAAGTGAAGGCTATAAAATATGAACTACCTTCTGAAATAATTTAGAAATGCTCTTTGGTTTGTTCATTCTAACAGTTTTTAGTTCTCTTTGAGGGACGGACAGATGGAAGGGAGGGAGAAAATCCAAATAAGGGAACTCTCAGCACATGAATTCAGACAAGGAGAAATATCTACCTTCTAGGCAATATCAGGCTGAGATATTATTATGTGTGGTCAACCAAATCTACTGGAAGCAGTAAGTGAACCTGCAAATCATTTTTGGAAGATATGGCCCCATTTGGATTTATCTAGTTCTTCCTCCATGACTTACCCTTTCCCTGTGCAACTCTTTCACTCAACTCCCTTAAATGTTCAAATTAACATCTTTTTCCAGGTTTACCACCCCTTTCCTACTCCTCTTCATTCCTGTACCTCCCAGCACTCCTTCCACTTGCAGGACAGAGGAGCAAAATAAACCGCCAATAGCCAACATGTTCTATTACACACACACACACACACACACACACACACACACACACACCACCTTTATCTATGTTCAACTGTAAAAATTGTGAATACTTAAGTTTACCAAGTGAATCATCAAAGATGCTATCATAGAATAAGAAGGCTATTTTTCTCCCACAAAATGTCTCCTTACTCACAGGGGCTTGTGAAACGTGACCCACCACCACTGAGTTGACAAGCTCCAGATGTCACCAGCTCCCCTCACTGAGATGGCTACTGTTCACAATCACACCTGTCCTGTAAGACTTTCTCCCTGCTCGGTCTTCCAGGTTTTGCCTGATCAAGAGCCTTTCTAGAGCTCTTCAGCTAAATCTTGGGCCAGCAGACAGTGCTTCTGCCTCAGCCAATTTGAATGCATGCTGCCTATGAGATTTCCTGAGACACTCTCAGCTGCTGCATTAAAACTGCATGAGCCTTCCTCTGAAGGCCTAATAATAGCACGTTTCATCTGTGAACCACTTTATAAACATTAAGTGATTAAGCCACCTTCTATCTTCTCAAGCTCTGGGCTTTGGCATAGTGGACTTCACTCTCTACTGCCCTCAAATTACTCCACCAAGAAAAAAAAAAAAAAACCTGAGACCTGAAAGATCTTCTCTGGATATTTTAGGTAACAAAAGACCTTGGAGTAACGACCCTTACTTGGGTAATGATATGGAGAAGAGAGGGATTTAAAGCCACGCTCCTTTGAGACTGAATTGAGGCTCTCATCTCCCAATGTTAGATTAGCACAGAGAAGAACTTGACTCCATGGTCTAGAGCAAGATCTATAGCCCCATGGTGCCAAAGCCAGCCCACAATCTATTTTTATAAATAAAGTTTTATTGGGAGACAGTCATGCTCATTCATTTACTTATTATCTATGGCTACTTTTGCATTGCACTATCAATTGAGTAGTTGTGACAGAGATTAAATGACTCATAAAGCCAAAAAAATATTTACTATCTAGCCCTGTAGAAAACGCTTGCTGACCCCTGTAAGGTCTAAGGAACTCAGAGTTTGTTCTCATCCTATATATTCCCTAAATATCTTTAATCAATTTTCTTTCCCTTTCTGGACCTCAGTTGCTACATCCACAGACTGAATAACCTCTAAACTAACTGAGCCATCACCTTGGGCTTATTCTCTCATTGTTCTCCAAATATTAGCATCTCCTTATTTTAGATTTGTCTGATTATTACACCTGGCTTCTTTGAGGACAGGAATAGGGTTGTGTGTGTCTCATGAATCATTGCAGACAAGAGGCTCTATGCTGACTTACATTTCATTTGTAAAAAAATTCAAATCATATATTTTTATATCATATGTATTATTTTTTTTTTTTGCAGAGAGATCTCACAGAATGATGTCTTGGAAGTAATAGAGGCAAATGTGTTCTTCAACTTGTCCAAATTACATGAAATGTAAGCAAGGTCCTGTGGGGTTTGCTCATCACCATTGGCAATAGCTGTAAATTTTGTGTATATCCCTGGAAGGTCCTAACTCTGCTCTATCCTCTGATCCCTAGAATTTCATTTTAAGATGTCAAAGACAGCCCAAAGGGCACCATTCTGTGTCTCTCTGCCTGGTGATCCAAGTACCAACCAAGAAAATAATCTTGTCCTGCTGTCTCCCTCCAAGAGGTTTTTTTTTTTTTTTTTTTTCCAATAGTAGACCCAATAACCTTGTGCTGTGACTGAAGCGGTCTCTATCTCATCGTTTCTTTTAAAATTATTCCAGGGTCAAAGTCCAAACTAAATCCCACATGATGTAAAGATAGGCAGTCCTCACTTGAATACTAGTCTATGCCATACACTTACCATGAAACCTACCAAGAAACAAAAGCATTCTAACACTTAGTTTTCCTTAACTGTAAAATGAGAGTAAAAGTGCATGCCACAGGATCACTGTGATGAACAAAGGTGATAAATATAAATTAGATCCAACATCAACTGACATAGAGTAAATATGTCATAATGATACTTGGTACCTTTATTACAACCAAATTTACTTTGTTTTTAACATTCTGGTTTTACACACCTGTCAATATTCATACAGATATATTTCTGTTTCATACCAGCCTATAACCACCATAAATTAATTCACAGAATCATAAAATGTCAAAGCCAGAAAAGACTAGACACTATCTGGTCCTAAATTTTCCAAAGTACAAAGTGTTTTTTAAAAAGGTAAACGACTTTATGGTCAAGTTATATTAGGAAACATTGGGCAAATGTTAGGCTCACTCACTATAGGAAAACTCAGAACCTATCATGTGTGAATATACACTTGGAATATCCAGGGAGGCATTTTATTAAGGGTTTTTCAACCAGTATCACTGGTAAGGTTTCTTCTGTGGGGCATTTATTAACACCTCACAAATATCCCATGCAACATAGTTAAGAAAGTGAATGAACCACTTTCCTAATATTACAGACAAGAATGAAAGTTGCAAGGCTTATCTAAAGTCACCCAGCCAAATCCACAGCAGGATAAGGACTTACACATAAATACCAACTCTTATATTTTTAAAAAATTTCTTATCATTTGCCAAGCATATATACATATATATACATTTATACATCCATATAATTCATACACACACACACACACACACACACATTTAGAAAGGATACTTAGTCTGTCCATACTGGCAGACTACCCTCTCCCTTTTCCTTCCTTCCACCCACTCTGCCTCCCACCTGCATTCTTCCTCATTGCTGTTAAGCCTCTGAAACTGATGCCTTTCCTCACTTTCCCCCATTGCCCTCCTGTTCCTTCTTTTCTTCTCTGCTTGGTCTCTCCTTACCCTAGTTGGAAAAAGAGAGTTTCACCAGGGTCTCAGAACCCACAGGAAATGTCAAAGAAATGAACCAAAGAGCAATCAGCCCTCTGGGCAGGGTTAAGCAGGCATCCCTTTCTGCAGTTCAACAGGCAGTAGAGCTAATGGAACAGCTCTTTCATCTCTTCCCTGCATGGAGAGGTGCTCACCCCCATGTAGCACTGACTATACTTAATTAATTACCTGGTACTTGGATCTGGGTAGCTACAGGTTACTGCAACATAAAAGCTAATGAAACAGGGAGGAAGTAATTAACACAGAGCATATCTGTAAATATACATTGATCCAGCAAGATGAGGAAAGGTCAGCCTCTCTCTGTTGGAATCCAAATGTGAACACATTCACCTCCAGACTATTGATCAGGACACAGCTAAAGACAACAAGGGCAAAAGTCATCACTTCTCATGAGCTGTGAGAGCAGCCTCAGTCTACAGCATGAAGGGAATCAGCAGCACGTTCCCAACCACTTCCTGCTACAATTGCATGATTAAAATCAGATGTCCACTGCTTTTCACCTGATCTTTGCTTTCCTTTGCCTCTTTACTCTTTCTCCAATCTCCTTTTGCTTCACCCTTTTGCTTCCTGCCATCTTCTTTTCACCTTCTTTTGTTTTCTATCCCCTACTCTCTTGTCTCCAAATGAGACAAAATCTCCATTTCCCAGGTCAGTCTCATCCCTGCCTTCTTAGCCTCCTTAGACCCTGAGAGACACTTACTGGTTAAAGACACAGTGTGCTGGGTGAAAAGGACAAACTCAGAAAGTGTTTTGTTTGGCTATGTTTAATGTCCCAAGAGGACATTAGTGATGAAAGCAAAATGGGTTAATATTTAGTTTGAACAACTTAGCATAGTGAAAACACTGCATGTGTTCTAAACTTTTTTGTTGAAATGATGGATGGATAGATGGATGGGTGAGTGAATAAGTGATATACTCTTTGCATAATGTGAAAAATACTACAGCATTCCTTACAGTTGAGCTCATGTATATATTCTTTTCTGTTTTACAGTAGAATTGAAAAGGCCAACAACCTACTATACATCGACACTGATGCCTTCCAGAACCTTCCCAACCTCCGATATTTGTAAGAACTCTTATATTCTGGTGCGGCCACTATAAACGAATTGTGTATTCCTGGTTTAGCACAATGTCTACTTGTTACTCTGGGGGGCAACTGCTTTTTATAAAAGATGTGGGGTTACCTAGACATGGAGGGGAGACACTTGCTGGTAGATTTTTAGTTTAATATGTGGGTTCCACTAATATAACTGCATTTTTGTTTTCATTTACAAAAACAAACATAAAGAATTCCATTTGCATTAATGTAATTTCACATGGACCTCTTGCATAACTCAGTCATAATTTAGTGTTATTAATAAGATACAGCCAAAATTTGTGCTAGCATTTAGCTTGTTACCTTAACCTCAAAGACATCATCCCTTTTATTCTGCATATATGCATTTTTTCTTTGATAACTTACAGTGTTTTATTTTTTAAGTTTTAGTTAGTAATAGACATGGTATTTTACCAGCAGAGAGATTCCTGGTGTTTGAGCCCCATCAGTAAAATCACTGCTTCTTCCATTCAAATACCTTTCCAAATAGCTGAGTGCTTGACAGAGCCCAGAGTGCTATGAAAGGACCCCACAAAGTAACCAATAAGGACTTGGGCTAGAAGTCACAGTAAGCCCATTTACTAGCCACTGGTCACAGGCTACAACCTAATGTCTTGATGCTTATTTGCTTATTTCCTTATTTCCCTACCACAAGAATGGAAATAACAATGGTAATAGTATGTATCTGTTACCTATTGGCATAATAATACATAACTACCTAAGCCCCTCCCCCCACACACAGTTTTAAAGCAACAGCTATCATCTCTCATCTGTCTGTGAGTTTATCTGTGGAATGGTTCTCCTGACCTGGACTGTTTGACCTCAGCTAAGCTCGGTTAAGCAATTACAGTTAGGTGGCAGGTCAACTGGGGGCAGGCTGCCCTAGATGGTCTCAGTTGAGATGACAACACCAAGTGGAGCTCATTTCCAGCAGCCTAACATAGGCTTGCTCTAATGGCAGTCCTGGGGTTCCAACAGAAAGAGCTCAAGCTTGCAAGCCTCTTGAGACCTACCCCCTGAACTAGTATGCCATCTATCCTGAAGCATTTTATTAGCCAGACCAACTCATGCCGCCAGCTCTGATTCAAGACCTAGAGAAATGCACTCCATTTTTTCATGGGAAAAGCTTCACAGTCACAATATAAGATGTGTTGATCCAAGTAAGGATAGAGAATTGAGGCCATCTTTGCAAACAATTTAAAGGATGTAAAAAAGTTTTATACAGTGCCTGTCACACAGTAAATGCTCACATCAACATTACTTGCTAGTGATACTTTGTCCCTAAGTTTTGATCCCTGAGAACTGGAGTTAGTAGGTTCAATGAGCAACACTGGGCCTTTGTGTGCCTCATCTCTACAAGAATAAAAGGTTTAACAGAACAGAGTCTATATGACATGTAACTTCCCCTCCCTGATAGAAGCTCCAGGAAGGATCTGAGAAAGAGTTAAGGTCATCCACTCCTGAGTTAATGTCAGAGGCAGGACTAGCTTCATTGGCATGGTGCCCATACAGTCACACAGGGTTCCATGCTCAAAAGCACCCCACATTCAGAGAGCCTCACACTAGGTTTAATTTCCTGCTTCCACAGTCTTGAAATGCTTATACTTTTTTTTTTTAACAAAGGGCCCTGAATTTTCATTTTACACTGTGCCCCCCCAAATAGAGCCCATCATGCTCAGAGGCCATGGTTATGACCTCTTCTATTTTCAGACTTGGGTGTGTTGGATCCCTAAATGGACTTTACTATACTGTCTGCAGATTAGCAGACTAGGCACATAACAGTGGAGGAAATATGGAATAATAGAAGGCATGAGCATTAAAGAAAAAAAAAAAACTAAGACTTCATCCTCATCCCACCATTTACTTTTGGGTCATTTGCTGGACTTCAGAGACCCACTTGGCTTATAGGACCCTCAAGTGAGATTTATATAGGAAAATATTACATAAACCATGAAGTGTTCAAAAATATTAATATATTATATTTATTATATAAATATATATATTTTGTAGTACTTTGTAGGATGATTATTTCTAGCCAACCAAAGTCTACCAGTCCACCCTCAAGAAAAGTCCAGTAAGGACTGAATAGAGTTATGGTGGCCACCAAGACCTTCAGCTCTTACAGTGTTTGTCTTAAGTTCAAAAAACAAGTTTAGGAAATGCCTTTACATTTCATGAAGCAGTATAGAAAAGAAAACTATGTATGATGGCAGAAGGACTGGATTCCAGGTGGGATATTTTTATTTATTAGCTAGATACCCAATTACCTTCTCTAAGCCTCAGTTTCCATATCTGTAAATAGGGTGCTTGTGAAAAAAAAGATGATGCCTGCCAAAAACATTTTAAAAATTGTTTCTCAGTATGTAAACTATAAACAACTGTACAAAATTATTAGCACCTGTTACCCAACTGACTTCTTTCACTCCTTCCTCTTTTCTTCTTTCCCTCCCAACTACCTTCTTCCCTCTTTCTTTCCCTTTTCTCTTAGAAAAGTCCAAGTGGGATGTGGGGGCCACAGAGCCTTCAATAACAAAATATAATCACCTTAGGACATGCAAATGAATCCACAGGGGAACTGCCATTCACATGCATGTAATGAAAAGCATTCCTGCAGAAGATAGATCCAAAAAGAAAACAACCCCCTCACATACATATTCTAGAGCACTTGATAGTAACAGTATGAACAATAGCCAGAATGGTGGGCTGGGAGCAAGTAAATAAGGGATGAGGAATCATTGCAAAGTTTGAAATCAAGATATCCAGAATTAGACCCAATCCTGGCCCACACCTGGTAGTCACCACCATTCACTCTTATGAATAAGGACCCTCAGTCCTCCTCCTAGGGGGTAAGAGCTGGGGAGGAACTTGGGAGGATGTGAGCATGGAAGGCATAGCCCCAGGTGGGAGGAATGGAAACTTTGGCTAAATAGAGGGGCCAAGCTATGACTTTGACTCTGAAAGAGGCTAAAATCTATACCATCAGTCATGAAATCCAGCCTCCCCTCTGGATCCTTTTCTCCCTTTGAGGGGTTGAGTAGTCCCCTGTCCCTCTGGTTCCCCATCAAGTCTAGACAAAGCTGTAGGTGGCCGATTCCAGCCACATCCTTTCATAAGAGGAGGTTATTGTTCTCAGAGCATTTGAAACCTGATTTCTCAGTGCAGCAAGAAAAGAACTTGTAAGCAGTTGGAAGTAATTGTGTCATTGTCAAAGGATCCTCCTTGGTTACTCTGGAAAATGTATTTATATAATTCTACAGCATAGAAAATTCTTTCACAGCCACTGCCATGCCTTTCTCCATCAGGAAGTTAAGAGGAAGAGTTGTCCATCTTAAGCCTTTTGACTTACTGACGAGGGTGGACTTTTCCCAGCTGTGCATCCTTCCTTCAGATGTGGCACACAATGACCCAGAGATTGGAACAACCACCCCAAAGGCACTTTCTACCAGCAATATTTCTATTCAGGGCTCAGACTGTGGCCCTTTGAAAAATTTCCCATACTGATAAGGTATCTAAGTTAGTTGGACCCCTAATCTGAAAGATTCTATCAGGGAAACAAAGCCCAGTTAGGCTTCCTTCTCCCATGCTTACTTGTGTTTGAGCAGCAGTCATAAATGGCCTCACAATCCAGCAGTCAGGTATAGGTGGATGGCAACGATTTCAGATATTCTTTGGGATGATGAACTACTTGCTTAAAGGCAAAGAAGAAATACAAAATGAATGAAGGAATCCAGAGGGAACCAGTAGGATTGAATAGTTGTTTATTTCCTGAAGCCAGGATAAATGTTTATCATCATCACAGCCACCAAAGCAGGAAATTACAAGGGGTTAGGGGTGAGTTTCTATTTGATTTGAGCATCCTAATTCACAAACACACACACACACACACACACACACACACACACACACACACACAGGAATGTTGTTTTGAAATTTTCAGCATTGATTCCATTTCATGCTGATCATTTGATGGCACAGAATTCAAGACAACTAGAAATCAGTGTTCTTCATCACTGTCTTCATACTTCACTGAGAAACCTGAAGTGGTTGGGAAAAAAAAAAACCTCATGAATAAAGAAATGTACTTTGACTAGAAGAATATACATCAAAGGATTCATCTGGGTGCATTTTTTAAGTCAATATTGTATTTGCAGGCAATATTTCTTTTTTTACTGCTCTGCCTTCCTGGAGCTGACCTTTTGTGTACGAAAGATTATCTATTGATCTGTAAATAAGGTTTACACAATATTCTCCTGCCTTTGCATCCTGTCAATGAAATTCTCAGGCAGCTGGATGTTGCTCTTTACTACTCAATAAACCCTAATTTCATCTGAGCAAACCCTTCGCACAGCTGAGTGGGACCCCTCCCCAATTGACAACCATCTTCTAGTCACATGCAGGCTTGTTAGACCCTCCTTAGGATGCCTATTAACAACACCCACACCATCTGCTTTCTCCAGCCAGGTAATTTCAGGAGAGCCTTCACTGGGACTCACTCTAGCAATCCCTCCCCCAAGTCTCCTTCTCTCTATTCTGTATTCCTCCCTCATTTCATTTAGTAAGGGTAATGAAAGTAGCCTCTCTGATTGTAAAAGTTGAACCATATGTTGGGCATCTCAAAGGACAGTGGCCAGGGACACAGGAAGCATCACACAGTAATGCAGAAGCACATAGATACCAGTGCCACCTGTCTAGACTCAGGTCTTGGCTCCTGCTCTCCTTAGTTATGTGACCTTAGGTAATGGCTTAACTTCTCTAGGTCCCAGTCTTACTTACTATAAACCAGGAATAGCACTACCTGCACCTTTGCATTGCATTGCAAACAACAATGACTGACATTAAGAAAATCCTCAGTAAATGTTGGCATTTTTTGTTAAATTCTTGACCCTATCATTTACTAGCTAAGGGAAGTCCGTGTAAGAGACTTCATTCTCTTCGCACCACAGTTCTCCCCTATGCTTAAAGAAAAGAAA